CTGTGCTGGTCTCACAAATGCAGCTATTATTTTTGCTGCTGCTACTGCTGCTGCTGCTGCCATTCTTGTGGGGCTGCCACAGTTGCGTCATCCTGCTGCTGCTCCAGCTTCTCTCCCTGCCCCAGCTTCTCTTTCTCCTCTTGCTCCTCTTCCTGTTCGTAATTCTGTTCCTGCTGCTCTTGCTGCTCCTGCTCTTCTGTCTGCTCATGCACTTGCTCCTGCTGCTCGTGCTGCTCTTGCTGCTCCTGCTGCACATCCTGCTCTCGCCGCTCATGCGGCTCCTGCAGCTCGTGAAGCTCGTGCTGTTCCTTCTGTTCCTGCGGCTCCTGCTGCTCGCGCTGCTCGTGCAGCTCCTGCTGCTCGTGCAGCTCTTGCTGCTCGTGCAGCTCTTGCTGCTCGTGCTGCTGTTGCTGCACAGGCTCCTCACGGGGTTCCTGCTGCTCCCGTTCCCCCCGTTGCTTCTGCTGCTCCCGTTCGTCCCGTTGCTGCTGCTGGTCTTGGTGCTCGTGGTTGTCGTGCTGCTCCTGCTGCTGTTGCTGTTCCCGCTGCTGCTCTTCCTGTTCGCGCTGCAGTTCCTTGAGGACTCGGAACTGTTCTTCTTCAAGTTCGGCGTTCTGCTGGGGTTTGGGTTTTTGGGCTCTGGAGCGTCTGAAGCTCTTGCGCTTCCTCTGCAGCTCCGCGCGCTGCTGCTGCAGCTCCCCCTGCTGCTGCTGCTGCTGCTGCTGGGCGAGCCTGGACCTGGCGGCCGAGTACCTTTCCATGACCTGCCTGGCGAGGGGGCAGGGCGGGGGCCCCTGGCCGGCCTCGACGAGGGCCCAGTCGACTCCGTCGAAGTACTCGTCGTTGAGGACTTGCTGCAGAGAAGCTCTTTTGGAAATGTCGGGGTTGACCATTTTGAGGACAAGACGGACGAGCGCAGCTTCCCGCGGCACCGGCTGGTACTTGCGGACGCGGACCAGCATGCGGGCGAAGGCCATGCCCAGCGCGTAGACATCGGACTTGGGCGAAAAAGGCACAAATGAAGAAAAACGGCGGAGTTCGGGGGCTGTGAAGCCCCGCGTGTGCGTGGCCTCCTCCTGCGGGCAGGGCTGGCCCAGAGGCCACAGCATCTCGAAGTCCGCGAGGCGCACGTGGCCGTCGAGGCCCACGAAGAAGTTGGGGGGCTTCAAGTCTCTGTGCAGGAAGCCGCCGCGGTGCAGCAGCGCAACAGCAGCAGCCATTTCTGCTGCTGCCCACAGCACCTCCACGCTGCGCGGCGCGTCGCGGTAGTACTGGGAAAAGTCGCAGCAGGCCCGCGGCAGCACCAGGTACACGTTTTCGCTGCGCCGCGACCTGTACGCCCGCAGCAGCTGCAGCAGCAGCGGCTGCTGCTGCGGCACGTGCTGCTGCATTGCGTACACTTCCCACGCCGTCTGCTCCTTCCCAAACTCCGGCCGGTAGCTCCTTCCTTTTATTGCAATTCCTTCTTTTCTTTCTTCCGAATTCAACTCCAAAAACTCCGACAAACTCTCCGAAGGATGCTCCACTATCGTCACGAACGTCCGCCGCCGGCCCCGCCGGCCCTCCCCGCTCGCGGCGGCCCCGGGGGGCCCCATCGGCGGCGCTGCTACGCCAGAGGGGAACCCAGATAAACCCTCCAGCCCATCGGCCACCGCCTGGAACTCCGGCCAGTCTCGCTCGTCCACTGTTGGCAACTTCCATAAGTACCAAGTCCAAGACCAAGGCTTGTCTGCAGCAGCAGCAGCAGCAGCAGCAGCATGAGCGGGGGCAGCAGCAGGAGAGAAGGGAATCATGCAACGGCGAAGAGCAGCATCTAGGCTTATGAGAGGACACGGCAGAGCTAACCTCTAGCTAGCTAGCCAGGTGGCTAGCTAGCTAAGGAGGTGGCTAGCTAGCTGCACACCTAGCTAAGCTGCTTGACACCTAGCTATCTGCACAGCTAGCAGGACAGCTAGCTGCACAGCTAGCTGCACAGCTAGCTAAGCTGCTGCACACCTAGCTAGCTAAGCAGCTAGCTAACGTGCTGCACACCTAGCTAGCTAGGCAGCTAGCTAAGCAGCTAGCTAAGCAGCTAGCTAAGCACATACACACCTAGCTAGCTGCACGGCTATCTACGCAGATCACACACCCACCGAGCAACAGCCCGGCTCGCTAGCTAGCCAACTGGGCAGCTAACTAGCCAGCTAGCCAGCTAGCTAGCTAGCTAGCTAGCTGCTGTGAAAGGAACTTACACTTGAAGTTGTTGGACATGGTCTTAAAGGCCCTTTGAATGGAATCCGCGTGCTCGTGCAGAAGAGCCCCACCAGCTAACATCACCAGCCCCGCGCCCGCAGCAGCCCTGCAGCAGCAGCAGCAGCAGCAACAACAGCAGCAGAAGAGAAAGCGAAGCAAGTCAACGGCTGCTGATGTGTCAACAGACTGCACAACAGGGACTCAAGATCCCAGCTAGGGTTTAAGGTTTGGGCACTAGGGTTTACAGGCTAGAAAAAAGAAACCCCGATTTAGGGTTCAGTGGGGGCTTTGACGTACATTAAGCGACGCGGCCGCTGCCCTGCAGCAGCAGAAGCCCTTAAGAACTGCTGCCCTGAGACTTCCTCCATGAGCTGCTGCAGCGAAGTCCCTGCTGCTGCAGCATCTGCTTCTGCTGCAGCGTCAGCATCAGCTTCTGCAGCATCTGCTTCTGCTGCAGCATCAGCTGCTGCCTGGTCTGCTTCTGCGGAAGCACGTGCCGCTGCTGCAGCGGCTTCTCCTGCAGCAGAAGACGCTGCGGCGGCTTCTGCCAGTGCCTTTAGTGGATACACAGCTGCTGCTGGAGCTGCTGCTGCTGCTGCTGGAGAAGCAGCAGCAGCAGCTGCTGCTTCTTCGTTTTCATCTGTTCCAAAGACGGGAGCAGCTAAAGAGACGTGCAGGAAGATAAGTAGCAGCGCCGCAATAGCAGCGCATTCAAACAACCTCCCCATCTTCAGGAAGCTTCAATCTGCTGCTGCTGCTGCTGCTGCTGCTGCTGCTCCTGCTCCCGTAACTGCTGTTGCCCTGCAGCAGCTGGTGCTGCTTTCGGGGCCCCTGCTGCTGCTGCAGCGGAAGTCTGCGTTGCTGCCGTTGCTGCTGGTGGCTGCTGCTGGCTGCTGGGCGGGGACTGCGGGACCCGCCGCTGCGGTGTATGTACACCTGGAAGCAGCAGCAAAGCAAAACCCAAAGTCTGCTCCTGGCAAAGCGCCGCCAGAGCGGCTAGCGCAGAGGCCGCATGAAGGGCCCTTGTTGCTGCTGCTGAATTGGGTAAAAAGGCGAGAAGCAGCGAGCTGCTGCTGCTGCTGCTGCTGGTGCTGCTGCTGCTGCAGACGACAGCCTCCGCGACAAATCGAGACGCGGGGGGCAAGAGATTCCCCGGGGCTGCGCAGCAGCAGAAAAGCCCCGAGCTGTTTGAAACAGAATTAAAACAATGTTTGGCAGCAGCTCGGGTTTGCTTCTGCGTTGCTGCTGCTGCTTCCAGCTGCTGCTGCTCCTCTCGTGCTTCTGCTACAGCTGGGCGCGCGCAAAGCCCCCAAAGACTCAACCGCAGGCAAAGACTCAGCAACAAAATTAACTAAGTTTGAGAAATGCAAAAAGCAACAAATTAAATAAACTTCAAGAAGAAGCGGAAGGTCTTTTGCCTTCGCTCCGCCGCTGCGGGAGCGGGAGCCCCGCCGAGCCACCGGCAGCCCCGCGCGCGCCGCTGCCGTTGAAATTGTTCTTTTTTCTTCTTTTAAAAACATTTATTTTACTAAATTTACTAAATTAATTTCATTTTCCCCATAAACACGCAAAATTCCAGACCCCCAGCCCCCGCCCCCCTGGGCTGCAGCGCCATGCTCCTCTCCAGGGCTCTCCGGGGTCGGGTCCCCGTGCCTCAGTTCAGTAGGGACCGCTTCTTCCGTCGGGTGAGTTTTGGCTGGCAAGGGGGGCCCCCTGGGGGCCCCCGGGGGGCCCCCGGGGCCCCGGGGTCCCTAGGGGCCCCTGGAGGCCCCCGGGGGCCCTAGGGGCCCCTGGGGGGCCTCCTGGGGCCCTGAGGAGGGGCCGCGCGCCTGCAGCGCCACAGGCCCACTGCAACAGAAAGAGCCGCCGTAGAGACGGGCCGGCAAAAGCAGCAGCAGAGGCAGAAGCAAAAAGTGCGCAGGAAGCAGCCGGAGGTGTATGTACACTGCAGAGGCGGTGGGGCTATGGTGTACGTACACCGCAGGGGGCACTGCTGCGCCGCTGCGGCCCACGGGGTGTACAGACAGCTGCTGCGAGTGTGTGCTGCTGCAGCCAAATATGCTGGAGGCCGACAGAGCTCGTCTTTACTACTTTAATCTTTTTAGCATCGCAGCGACTGCCGTGCCTATTTGGTACATGATGACTGTAAGCGAGCGGGGGGTTAGGGTTTAGGGTTTGGGGGTTTCGACATGCCGCTGCGCCAGGCTCGCTGCTCTGGCGCCGGGGCAGGCGCTTGCCCCCTCCCCGGAGGCTTACTTGGCCCTTGCGCCCCATAACAAAGGGCTTAGGGTTTAGGGTTTAGGGTTTGCGCTGCAGGTGAACTACCGTTTCTGCGAAGAGTCGGTGATGCTGTCGGACTCGCTGGGGAGTTCTGGAGTTTCGCCGACGGACTTGGGTCTTTTTTACCCTCACAAGTTGCAGAAATAAAGACAATTGTTAGTGCAATTAATTAAAACAAAAGAGCAAAAGCAAAGAAATGAAAAGAGTTCGTGAGTTCCCGGTGCGCGCGGCGCTCCGGGGCGTCTTCAGGTGTACGTACACCTGCGCGGCGTTTTCGGGTGTACGTACACCCCACGCCCCCGCGGCCAGTCTCACCCGCAGACACTTCGACCATCATTTTTATTCTTTTGTTTTTATTTCTTTGCTTTTTACTCTTCAACTCCCCAGAAAGCTGCATCTGTCTTTGTGGGCAGCTAATCCGTAGAATGGACATTCGTGTTCAATTTATATTTACATTTGCTTTAGACCTTTTTTATATTTATTTATTTATTTATTTATGTGTATATTTGCTTCAGATCCATTTCGGATTTATATTTATATACGCTAATGGACTCACTATGTATCCAAGCAAATTCATACATTTATGTATATATGGATCGCATGAATGGAATTTTAATATACATTTATAAACAACTGAACTTTGGATGTAAATATATAGATAGGTAAATAATATAAATGAGCCTTTAGTGTAACATACAAATATACTGTACAAGTGAACTTTGGATGCATAAATAAATATAAATAAATATAAATGAGGCGCCAGGGAAGCATTGTATAATTGAACTTTGGTTGCAGATATATAAATAAATATAAATAAATATAAATGAGCTTTTAGTGTATATGGCTCGCCAACATGAGGCCGTTAAGTCCAAGTGCATTATGTTCGATGTACATACACCGCAAATACCTACATGCACACCCTAAGGGTGTCAAGATATATTAATATAATTCAGAAAATATAAAGATATGTTGTAATATATATATATATATATAATATATTCCTTTATAGGAGTATATAAATGCCAAAGTCTATGCACAAACACAACTTGGGTGCAGACCCTCGGGGGTTGCCTGCGGTGTACGTACACCCCAGCTTTGCCCTCAGCCTTGAATTAGGGTTTAGGGTTTCGGTGAATCCTGGTGTCTAGACACTGGAGCCAATGCTGGCTTTCATCTCTTATGGAAACCCTGGTGCTGCTGCGGGGGGTTTGGGGTATAGCTAGGGTTTGGGGTTTAGCGTTGTCTGGGCAAAAGCCAAAAGCCCTAATCTGTGTTGTCCAGGCGCGTGGCTTTAGAAAATTTGGAGCCCCTAGGGTTTAGGGTTTAGACAAAAGAGGGGTTCAGTTCGGACCTACGGGCGAGGGTTTAGGGTTCGAGAGAGGCTAGGGTCTGAGCGGAGCTAGGGTTTAGGGTTTAGGAGGGGCTAGGGTTTAGGGTCTGGGCAAATGGAAAAGCCTCAGGACGGTGCTGAGGTGTCTGTACAGCTGACGGCCCCTTTGTTCCCGGGTGTACGTACGGCTGGCGGGCTGGGGCCTAAGAAGAAATGAAAGTTAGGGTTTAGTTGACAACTATTTCTTCCTTTTTGATGAGTCCTTCCACTCCCTTTTCAATCAAATCAAAAACATTCAAGTGCCCCCCCTCGTAGTACCTGCGGCGCAGCGCAAACCCTAAACCCCAGACCTAAGCCCCGCCAAGCCCTAGAAAAAAAACCCCACGCCCCACGCCCAACGCAAACCCTAAACCCTAAACCCTAAACCCTAAACAACCGGGGCCAGGGAGTGCAGATCCGCCCAGTACCACACTTCACAGCGCCGCCGCGCCGCCGCTGCGTGCGAGGGCAGCAGCGCCGAGGGTTTAGCACCTAGGGTTTAGAGCCTAGGGTTTAGGGCGAGGGTTTAGGGTTTAGGGTTTAGAAGGCGCACGGGTCCGGGACTTCTTCTGTGCCGCACTCTGGCGCGTAGTCGCGAATCAGCAGCTTCAGTTTGTGCCTTTTGTCTGGGGGGCAAAGGGCCGCGAGGTTTCGGAGGTTAGACTTGTCCATGGCCACAACCAAGTCAAACTCCTCAAAGTCTGCGCAAAACCCTAAACCCTAAACCCTAAACCCTAAACCCCACCAGCCCCCGCTGGCGCTCGCAGGGAGAAAGGGCGCGAGAAGACCAGTCACAGAGCGCCGTGCGCGCTTCCAGCTGTACTGCAGCCAGCGCGCTCCGCTGCAAACCCTAAACCCTAAACCCTAAAGCCTAAGCGCTAAACCCTCGCAGGGGTCTCGAAGAGCGGCTGCGAGCCACAGCGCCCCCGCTTTTGCCCGCCACTTCCCCCCGCGCCCTAAACCCTAGTTCCCCCCCTAAACCCTAATCGCTGACCCCAAACCCTTACCCACCCCGAACCCTAAACCCTCCCTCAAATAGGCCCTGCTCCCTAGACCCTTCCCTAAGCCCTCAGCGGGCGCCAGTCAACGCCACCCCAAACCCCAAACCCCAAACCCTAAACCCTAAGCCCTAAAGCCCAGCTCGCCTGTTTTGCGGACTTGGCGGGCCCTGTGGGGGCTCAAGTCGACGCCCCTCTTGCGGGCCGCGCGGATCATCTCGCCCATGGCGGGGTCCCCCTCTGTGTGCCCCCCAGTTGCTGCTGAAGCCACTTTAAAGGGTTTAGGGTTTAGGGTTTGGAGCTGGAGTTTGCTGCGGAGGATGTACTCCGCGGTGGGGGAGCGGTTCACGTTGCCGAGGCACACGAACAGCACTGATCGCACCATTTCAGCTCCCCAAAACTGCGCCAAATTATTTATTCTCTATTTTAATTCTTTTTCGCATTTTAAACAACAAAAAAGGGTTTATATCCAGAGAGATTCCGCAAAATTCCCTCAAGCCACCCGGGGGCCCCAGCCACACCCCTGGGGGCCCCCGACACGAAGACCCAAGCAGCGCCCCCCTCCGGGCCCCCCGCTAGCCCAAAACCCTAAACGCTAAACCCTAAACCCTAAACCCTAAACCCTAATTCTCGCGTTTCGTTTCCGTGTGTTGCTTCGGAGGCTTTCCCCGCAGTTGTTCTGCTGCAGGGCGTCATCGGGGCGTTCGGGGGAGCCGGCAGGTCGCGGCGGCGTAGCGCAAGCGCCAAACCCTAAACCCTAAACCCTAGAAGAGCGTCTCAGTGGTAGAATGAGCGAGGAGGCGAAGCTGGAGGCGTTGCTGCAGTGCCTGGCCGCAGCCTTCGAGGCCGGGGGGGCCCCCAGTACCCTCGAACTCGCGGGGGCCCACCCCGAGTGGGGCCCCCACGACAGAGTCGTGGGACTCTGCAGGGCCCTCCAGAACTTGGGATATGTGGCTTTGACTCTGCAGGAGAAGACTCTGTGGGCCCTCACGCCTGAGGGCCAGCAGTACGCGGCCAACGGCATGCCCGAGGCCAATTTGCTGCGCTGGATGCACCAAAACCCCTCCGTCAGCGCCTCCCTAAACCCCAAACCCTAAACCCTAAACCCTTAACCCTAAACGCTCCCAGCAAGCGCGCCGGGTGACCCGTCCGCCGCACCCAGCCGCCAGCAGCCAACCCCCAGCAGCAGCAGCAGCAGCAGCAGCGGCGAGCCACCGGCAACGGCTGTACTGTAGGCAGCAGCAGCCGCAGCTGCGGGACTAGCCGCCGCAGCAGCAGCGGCGACTGCTGCTGCTGTAGGGCTCCCTCAGCAGCAGCAGCGTTACTAGTGCCCCTCACAGCAGCAAGGGCCGCAGCAGAAGCAGCAGCATCCGCAGCAGCAGCGCCCCGCGGCCCTGCACCGCCCCCCTTCCCCCAGCAGCAGCAGCAGCAGCAGCAGCAGCAGCAGCAGGTATTGTGGGCGTGTGTCTTGTGCAGGAGAACGGCTACTCTGCTGCCGAGTTGAAGCAAACTTTGGGGACTGAAGGAGAATTGGGACTTTTAAATGCTTTAAAATTAGGACTTTGTGTTGCAGATAAAGAAACAAAAAGGATTA